AAAGCAGTTATCCCCATAAACACTGGGCAGCATTTGAGGCACCGGAGACTGCAGACTTTCGTAGGCTGGAGGGAGCTGAGCAATTGTCAGGGATTACTCAGCGGGACCCTGCCGTCACTATGTACTTATCTCTACTAAGGAAGGAGGAGGAGAGGGGATACATGCTTTCACAGGTCATCATTATCAACTAATGGGAGTCAAACAACCTCACGCAGATTTAACGCCACAGGTCCTGGGGAGGGAGCCGAGCAGAAGGATCAATAGTTGTGCACTTTTACTGTAGTGCCCTACTTTCAAGTAACACTTGATAGTTACACAGTAAAAGTGGCCAGTCATTGAGGGGTTAATTGTGATCCTCCTGCTCGGCTTTCTCCCTGGCAGCTGTGGGGTTAAATCTGCGTCAGGCCGTTTGTCCCCCCCCCCTTAGTTGATAATGATGTCCTGTGACAGCATGTATCCCCCCTCTGTTAGTAGAGATAAGCACATCATGTCGGCATGGTCCACTGAGTAATTCCTGAGCTAGGCTAATTCGGGAGTGATCTGTGTGGATGGTTGCGGGACACATGCCCCTTTCTCTCATGCTCATGCATGGGACTCCTAATTAGTGTGTGTCAGTCACAGGAGAGGGGGTGTGGCGACCCAATTTTTTTTTCATGTGTCAGGTTTTTTTATTGTAGGAGAGCAGAGAGAATTTTAGATGACTGGTTGATCCTTTCTTGGCCAGACTGCGAACAATTGACTTCTGCTGTTATGCTGTGTGAGGTAGACTGGTCATTTCAGTTTTGATTTTTTTGGGTTTACAACCACTTTAACCTCCTTACGCCGGCGCCTTCCAGCCCTTTAAGGGGTAGCTGATGGTGGAGGGGTGGTGTTTATAATCATGTGACTGCCGGGATTGTCTGTCACAGCGGTCACATGATCAGAAAGCTTCCAATCGCAAGTAGCTTTCCGTTAGGCACCAGTAACTGTGCTGGGAGCACGCAAGGCGCGTGCTCTCAGCACAGGTTTGTTTACATTTTGATACGCATATATGTGGCCTCTCAGCATCAAGGCCCAACCTCTGCTTGCGATCGATAGCTTTCTGTTAGTGCCAGCAACTGTGCCCACCCGCATATATGTGTCTTGTTGTCACAGAGAGGTTCAATCACTAAACAGCTTCTTATATCTTTCTGGGACTCCAGGGGTGAGTTCCGAATCTGCAAACCTGCTATAAAAGTTGTTCCACTGTCCCTGTTAGATTTGCCAATTATTTATACTGTACAGCCCATGGTTGGTGGTGGAAACCAAAACTCCATCATGGGCAGGAACAGAACTGGGAAATATGGTAGAAAGGTTTATATGCTGTTTATATGTGCACTCACGTGAACCAAGAAGTCAGCAAATGATTTCACCTATAACCCATTTGGGTGGGAATTATTTAAATATTTTAACTGCTGGGCATAATAGAACAAATAATAGCCACATATTGTAACCAGTAGCATTTGAATAAGATATCAGTTTTTGCTTCGCTAGTGTGAAATGAACCCAGCAGCACAATGCTGCAAGTACAGACAGCAGGAATGATAGAAATTTTGCCATAGAAGTAATATTAACAATTGCTCTTTTGTTAATCCCAACACTATCGAATGCCTAGATCAATTTCATTAGAAGGCAAGATCATGTGATATGTATTCAGCCTAACACTGTTGTGTGAAGGATTTCTACTTGAACTCATACCATGATCATGAGTGATATAATACAGCTGTGGGAGTATGATTGTGTTTTCCTGAAAATATAATATTCATATAGGAATGTTTATCCATTTCTGACTATTTAAATGAAAACATTACATACAGTCGTCTGCGAGTACATGCATTCCAACACACTCCTTATGTGTCTTGTGTGAATGCTACATATATCTAAAATATGAACATTTGAGGAGTAGTTATTGCTGAAAAGCTTATTGTGCAGCTCTTTGGTAAAATATCATGCCCATTTCAGATCAATGTTTTTTGTTAAACAAGAATTTTCTTCCATACCGTTGTTTTCTTTACATTTGTAGGTAGTGTTGTTTTAATTTGCTTTAGTGGCAGGTCCACAGATTCATGACTTGACCTTTCCGGTTTTATGGGTTATATTTTATGTTGGTCCTAGAGGTACATAAAATGAAATTTATAAATTTACAGCTTTATCTTTGATCACTTTTTTTTAAATTGAGTTTTATACTTTTCACACATAAAACAGAGAGAAGGAACAATAGGTTGTGAAATATACTTGCTACCACCATAATATCAACAGAAATACACAAGTGACAGTGGGTCACATATGAAAACATAGAGCACAGAGTACTCTCTAAAGTGAAGAGAGAGTAAAATAGAACAATCACATTTATAGAAATGGGCATGTGATAAGGCAATACGGGTACACATAAGTATCCAGAGGGTTGTATCTTAGAGAAGACAGCATACAATGGATATGAAAGACATCAACATCAGAATAAGTGATAAGTAATCCAAAATCAAGAACACGGGGACATGACCTCAAATTAGCTGGAGGAAAGTTCAAAACTTGTCATAGGCAGTATTAATTTACTGAAAGAGTAGTTGATGCTTGGAATAAATGTCCAGCAGAGGTAGTGACCCAGCCAACAGGAAATGGCTTCAAAACATGCTTTTGAAAAACATAGATCTATACTCTTTTCTTAGCTTTAGGCAAAGGCGGAAGGTTAGAACATCTGTCAGGATCTTGTTGCTGTCTGTACTCCTGTTGGGGTGATTTCCTATATGTACCCCTGGAGGTAAGGGGAATTTTCACACACAACAGCTGCACAAAAGCTATGGGCCATTGAGTGTGGGTGCTGTAGTGATCAAACAATAAATGACATCAACATATATAAAGGAGGCAGACAATTTCAAGCACCATATCATGATTGATGACTTGGTGTACTAGTAGTTACAATTGTCTGCTTCTCATTTATGACAGAGACAATGATTAATACCCAAGATAGGTAGGTTCTAACTCTTTTCATTCTTTCATAGCAATCAGTATCCCCAGATAGGGGATTTTCCTCACCCCCGAGATATTTTACCACACGTTCTGTCCCACTGATCATTCAACTAAGTAAGGGTAAATAGCCCTAATGGAGACACAGACATATAATAAAAAATTCTGCCCCACAATGTACAAAATTACATGTGTTTGACTGGACCTCCACTTTGAAACATTTCTTACAACTTGACTTAAAATGTTTATTCTTTAAAGCACTACTAAGTAGGTAAAGCAAAAAAAGTTGAATACTCTAAACAAAGCTGAAAATGTATTATTTCAATTTGATAATCATTTCTCTTTGCAGAGTCTTACCAGTGAAGCCGGTAAGCTTAGGGGTTTCAGTAACTTTTTCATCAATCAGTGTTAAAATAATGCCCTGATATTTGTTATCCAAATGAAACTAAATGTAATAAAATAGTGGTTGTCCTCTGTATGTTTTGAATTTCAAAAGGTTCGTTATTTTCCAAATACCTAATTAGCACATATCATCCAATCTGTATGCTGTCCATGTGCTTTCCTTCTTAGTGTCAACCCATCATCCTCCAGGGAAAATCATGTTGAATTTTGCTTTTCCTTTAAGTCATTAGATTCAGTGACTTACAACGTTCACACCCATTCCACTGTAAAATATCTCTAAATGCATCCCTTTCTGACTTAATTCTACCAACATTGTAATCCACTTATAAATTATATCTTGGTTGACAGCTGGGCTATTCTGGTGCATGCAAAATCTTTATTTAAAGATTCATCCTTCTAAAAATGTTCCTCTTCACTGTCTCTAATCTTAACATTGGCTCCAATTTCCCTGAAATTAGGAATGATATTCTTTCATTGCAAATGCTGTGATCATTAAGTCATATGTTCCCTAATTAATTATTTATGTAATAAATAATTAATATTTTATCTCTTTTTTAGAATCATTTGATAAGTAGTAGTCTTCACCTTCAGAGAGCACTCATGTATAGGAATTTTAAGTACATTCCCAAAGATTTTCTTTTTTTTTTGGCTTGAGGCTTTCTTTTGCTACATCTTCAAACATTTTTTTATAAACAGTTTTTTTAAAGCTGAACTCCATACAAACAATCAAATATAGAGATAAAATACATATGTGGGAGATGTTTTACTTTGCAAAGGATTTGTATTTCTGTTCATCTAGTTTTGAGTTCTTCATAGTTCTGTCACACAGCACAGTCCTGCCCAGCAGGGCAGGACATCTTATATTTTCACTGCTGATAAACAGTTGAGCAACATGTAGAGGTCTTGTCCATCCCCCAGCCTGTGACTGGACAGTAAACAGAAGCAACAGTTTGAAGAACTTATCTCTCGGTCACTCTGCTCTTTCCTTCTGTCAGCATGTTCCTTCTCACAACATGAGCATAACTGATTGGGTTATTTTGCTGCTTCTTGTTCTCTTAGTCTGAATTTTGTTAGTCTGTTGTGCAGAGCATTTAAAGGGGCTAAGACTGGGTCTAATTTAGGTACCTCCGCCAGTTGCATTAAAATAAATGTAACTACGTATAATGAATACATTCTCTTGTGACTTTTTATGCCTGGAGTTCAGGTTGAATAGCTAAATTTTGAAGATATACATATGCTCTATAGATCTCTGTATTGTGACCAGGTAGGGTGGAATGAAGACGACTGTATGACTCCAACTGGTTAGTTAGCTGCCCCTTGTTAATTTCCTTAGAAGTTGTTTTGTCATCTCAAATGATACCCATTGGTAGCATTTTGTCTGAGATATTTAAAAATGTAAACGTTACATTTCCCCCCAGATACCCAGCATTCCCATTTATTTACTGTGAGTTTGCTATACACATGTGATATTAATGTTTGTATAATAAAACATTTTTATACAATCTATGATAAACAATTGGATTTTATGAATACATACATATGAAAATGATTGAAAATTACTGCTTATGACAGAAAAATGATCACTTTCTTAAAAGATGCATTTTGTATTTTTACAGGGCCTGAAAGCAGCAGACAATGATCCCACTGCTCCACCTTATGACTCCCTCTTAGTTTTTGATTATGAGGGTAGCGGCTCCACTGCCGGATCTCTAAGCTCCCTGAACTCATCAAGTAGTGGCGGTGAGCAAGATTACGATTACCTAAACGACTGGGGCCCTCGCTTCAAGAAACTAGCCGATATGTATGGCGGCGGAGATGACTGAACTTTGGATTGAACTTTCGTTTTTGTGGACAAGAACAAACATTTGAACTGATATTCCCAAAAAGTGTAAAGAAGCTTGGCTTTAACTTTGTAGTCTACTAGCACAAGTGCTTGTTTGAAGGCTTTGGCATAGGCTGCAAACCAATTTGGGCTCAGTGGGAATATCAGTCATCCAATACTGTTTGGAAAAAAATTGATTGAGCTCAGTTACACTTGAATTTTACAGTACAGAAGCACTGGGATTTTATGTGCCTTTTTGTACCTTTTTCAGATCGGATTTAGTTTTATGTTCAACGCTTTAATGGTACTGATTTCTGAAAGGGTGAAAAGACAAGGTATGTTGTGGGTGGGCTGGCGTACGTTAACAAGGATTTCCTTCATCACGCCTTTTTTTTTTATTCTTCTTTTCTCTTTTTTTTTTTATACATTGCATTGCTTATATAAAAATCTGAAATAGAGAACAAATTTCATTAGAATAACTCTATTAGCTGCAGAGAAAACCACGTGATTGACATGTACAGTGCATTATTTTAGCTCTTAGGCTTCTTTTTCCATTAAGAGTCTTGGATTTTTTGCAGTCGGTTTCAGGAAAAGGGAGTTGTCATATCACCAGTTTCTAGCATAATTGAGATCTCATTTTTTTTTTCTTTTGTAGCAGAATTGTTTTTTTTTTCTTTTCACAAGATAGGCACATTTTGGTCTTAATCAATGTACACTTTTTTCTTTTGGGTATTTTTTCACTTCACTGTAAAAATGATATGTGTACATAATGTTTTTTCAACATAGTCTATAAAGAAGTTTTCAAGCTTCGGAACATGTGTATGTATTATTTGGACTATGAATTCAGGTTTTTGCATGTTTATATCTTTTTTTTTTCCTTTATGGATAAAGTATTTACAAAAAACAGGTGACAAACACAATTACATTAAAGAAAACTGTAGATTCAGTACACCAGTTTATTTTTTTCCAGTTACTTATTGGTTTGGGAGGGAGAAAACAAGAGTTCTTAGCACAAATGTTTTACATAATTTGTACCAAAAACAAAACTGATAGGGGCAAACTGGCGTTGGTGGCACTACTAATACTTGTTTGAGGGGACAGGCAGCTTTTAAACTGGAGGAACGTTGACAACGACTTTGCCTCTGTATTGTGTACCAGAATATAAATGATGCACCTCTGACCCCCACGTTCTGAATAAAATGCTAATTTTGGATCTGGTGACTGGTTTGAATTTTTTTTCTTTCCACTTGAACAATTCTGAATGCTGTGAAAAATCCCAAGATGCCTTGAGCTCAGTGAGAAAAATAGAAAAGTATACCGCACTAGCTCTCATAAGCTGTAACTTACTTCTTCTGTTTTGTGCTAAAAAGAAATTTGATTTCCCTTTTGAATATTGAAGCGCAAAAATGGATGGTGAATTTGAGTGGCTGAGGTGTTGCTTGGGGATCCACAGCTCAAATGTGGAGCAATTGAAGGATACAGTGCTCAGTCATTCATGTCCTGGAAAGAAGGAAAGTCTAATGAAACCAGAGGAGCAGAGCTTGCGTTTTACACAAAGTAACATATGACTGCATAGCTTGTAACTGGTAACAAACAAGAGCAAACCCAGCACAGTAATTTATAGTAATTAAAACCTGTCTTTTCACTGAGGTGTGTGAAGGAAAACACAATATATTATGCAGTGTTGGGACTTGCATTTCCCTTTAGATCTCGAGGACATACTAGTCTCTCCTTTTTCTAATAATTGGTTTTCTAGTCATTAAGTGGCACTGTGCATCTCAGGGACCTAAGTAATGGTGCTTTACATTCACCCTTTGATGTTATGGAACTAAACAAAACAGAATATAGTGGGTTTTTTTGGCTTAATGGTCAACATATAATACTATTTACCTTAGCCTTGCACTTTAAGAGCATATGAATGATTCCCTTTTTTAAGTTCTTGGAAAATAATCAAAGGAAGATCATTAAGTCACAGTTTATATCAGCTTATAGTGATAATCATTATGCTGTAATGGAGCGCAGAACAAGGTTTGTGGAAAGCCCATGTAAACATTGGCCTAGAGCAGTAAGGTTTCAGAGGGTGGTGAAAGGTCTCCATTATTAGTATATACATTAATCTATTATGGAAGCCTACAGTCACAAAATGAGGATTTAGCTGTTTAGTTATACAATCACCGGCCACTATTAGGTATGCCTTGCTAATGCCAAGAAAATATCCCCCGCACCATTACACCACCACCAGTCTGAACCGTTGATACAAGGAAGGATAGATCCATGTTTTCATGTTGTTTATGCCAAATTCTGACCCTATCATCCTCTGACCTCTAACATCAAAAAGACATTTTCGTCCACACAACTGCCACTCACTGGATATTTTCTCTTTTATGGACCATTCTCTGTAAACCTTAGAGATAGTTGTGCGTGACATTTCCAGTAGATCAGTCGTTTTTGAACTACTTAGAACAATCTATCTGGCACCAACAACCATGCCACATTCAAAGTCACTTAAATCCCCTTTCTTCCCCATTCTGATGCTTGGTTTGAACTTCAGCAAGTTGTCTTTACCATGTCTACATGCCTAAATTAATTGAGTTGCTGCCATGTGATTGGCTGATTAGAAATGTGTGTTACCAAGCAATTGAATGGATGTACCTAATAAAGTGGCTGGTGAGTGTATGTTTAGTACTGGATAAACTGGAGAATTTAGAACCAAGTTAGGCTTTTCATTTTTAGTGCTGTGTCTCAGCTGGGGAGATTCAACATCCCTGTTTGTCCTGGAGCTACTGTCATTGGGACAAAAAGTAATGCAAAATCCAAACTATTGCATATGCCAGTGAAGTAACTGCAATTGGTGACAACTGTCTAAGTGAAGAATTGTCCCTACTTTGGAGAAATTTCCTCCTACTTTTTTGTCTTTGGAACAGAAAGTTTAGGAAACAGGACACAGACCAAAAAAAGGGGTTGGAGTTAAATGGCCAAGCAGTTGCAATGCTATGTCTATACAGTAATAACATACAGTTATTTCACATATCTTTACCATAGATGAGTAAAGCACCAGATACCACATGCACATAGATTTAACAACAAACTGGACAACCTATGCTCAATGATGATTCACTTCTGGCCATTGTATGGATTAAATCAAGCACCCCTGGCAGATTGGGAAGCCTGTTCTTTGTTGTTACTTAATCTGCAGCTGAAAAGAAAGCTGTCTCAAATTTTGGCAAGTTCCTACTGAATCCGTCAAAACTCGAACTGCATGTGACCCTCAAGCACCACCCAGCAAGACTAAACTGCATTTAAAAATTGACAGAGCTAGGTGGAAAATTATTGGATGAACAGTGATTGCAGCACCACTGAATTCAGGCAACCACAAATGCTGTGGCTGCTGAATACAACAGCTGATAGTGTAGATTGGAGATTCTTCCATCCATGTTGTCTAGCATGGATGGTAGAATCAATTGATTTTTTGTCATCAGCTGAATGAGAGAAAATTGAGCCATATATAGCTAGGTTAAGTGTAATCCAATAACTTACCTCAGTTAGCTGTGCTAAATGTCCCAACATAGACAGTAATAGCATTGCAGTAGATTCTGGCTTAATTTCTCTTTTTGAAAGAAACAAGTCACCTGGGCCTCTCTGCTCTTTATGGAAACAACACTGCCAACACTTTAACAGTGGCTGAATGTTCAGCAAGACATTACCTCATCTCTTGTAGAATGTTCAGTACAGCTAGTAAAGTAATCTAGGAACATAAAGATGCCCTAGTGACTTTCGTCTATCCTGCTATGAAGGTTCCATCAATCCTTATTAGTGAGCTCTTGTTGTGTTTCAATATATTTTCTCCTACTGAAATGGGCAGTCTAAAGCCTAGTACACATGATGAGAATATCGGGCGAATTATCGTCCGTTTTTTTTTTTTTGCATGTTAGTCTCATATCAAAAATAAATAGGTTAAGAAAGTTACAAAAATTCTCATAAGACAGAATACAACTTTGGAAGTAATGTAATGTATTGTATTGTACTGTAATGTATTCTTTTGAGCATGTGTTGTCTTGGTCACTTTTTTTCATACAAATACTATACTAATTAAACGAAAAATCGTTTGTTCTGCTATCCAATGAGAAAAATTTTTGTGTTTGTCCCTTCGGATATTTTGGAATGAACTGTACTAACGATCAGTTTATCGGACATTTGCTCTGAAAATGTTCTTTTTTTCATCTGATTTTCTCCGTGTATACTAGGCATACCTTTTAACTGTTTAAGGAGAGAATATTTTGAATTATTTTAGAGAATTAAGAGATTTCCACTAACTTTTTGTTGTGTCTCAGGGATAGGCAGTGAAGGGATATCTCACTGACGGGTTGGAGACAGAAAAAAAGCAATGTTTTTACATTTACTTAAGTGTACCTAGAAATTGTTAAAAATGACAAGCTCTCACATATTACACCATACTTCATAATCCTTGATAGATAACCCAATTGATAGATAAACCAACTTTAGATTTTAAGTACATCTTCAAGCTTTGTTCTGCTATTAAAGCTGTACTCTGGGCTCAACCAATACAAGCAGCTTGTGTATTGTTATTGCATCTTGTTGTTCTTGGTGTATTTTATCCAGACTTATGCAAAAATCTAATATGAACACATTGCCCCTGTGTTCAGCTTTAAAGGATAAGTTCACTTTTTGAAAAAAAATATTAAATGCACATTTTTTGGAGGTAAAAAAAGGTATATATATATATTTTTTTTTAAAGGAACCTACAGAGTATTGCTCCCACGGTCAGTGGATTGTGCAGCTGCAAGAGATGCATGGGCAGGCAGTTACTTGAAGCAGGAAGAACAATGAACTATGAGAACGGTCACCAGCACCTTTGTAGTTCATCAAGTGACAATTCCTGGCGGTAGGTTATTCCTTCACAGGAAACTGTAAATGACATGGCCATGTAGATTGAGCCCTGCACGGCTACGTCACTTTTACATTATGATAGCGGTTGCAGGG